ATAACTAATTATATGTTATTAATTTATATAATTGAAAGGAGGTGGATGTGGGGGGGGGTTGATGCAGGCCGTAGCCAGACCAAATTTTCTGGTGGGGCAAAGCAAACTTTAGGGGGGGGATGTTATACATAAAACAATGTCTGTCTAATATTTTTAAGGGGGCAACGCCCTTTCCCACCGTGGTTACGGGACTGGGTTGATGACAAAAGCTGCCACATATGTAGCATACTCACAAATAACTTTAGGACTACATGCCTGCCGATGATAATGTGCATATGAAATTAAACGTATTTGATATTACGTTACTCTTTTCTTCGGGCATTTTTTCGATTTCAAATTTATCAGCTTTTGTCGGGTTTGACCACATATCGGCGTCTTTAATTAACCATTCCGGACCGAACCACCAAATTGATTTTTTCCCGATGTCCTCGGCATTACATCCACGCGAAATTATACGTCCGCCGCGTTGTCATGAGTGGGAACGTGTGACCATTCGCTGCACGCTGCCAACTCTTGTATTTCACAAACACGGTGCGCGACAAATGTCTTCCATCGACCTGATGGTGATGTTATCCAAGCCAAGACCACTTTAGAATCGGTCCAAAATCGACGTCGATTAATTTTTAAATTTAATTTTGGTATTAGTTTATTACGCAATCGGGATAGCAGCAAGGCGGCACACAGTTCTAACCGCGGCAAAGACACTATTTTTAACGGAGCAACGTTTGACTTTGCGCATATTAATTTTACATCTATATTTTTGTGTACGCCCGTAGTTCTTAAGTATAAACATGCACCATACGCCTTCTCGGATGCATCCACGAAACCGTGTATTTCAGTAATGACTACTATCTTGTTTGAAATTATTTTTCGTGGTATTCTTAAATTATTTAACGATGGTAACCCGTCTCGGTACCTTTGCCATTCGGCACAAATGTTGTCGGGTAATACATCATCCCAATTAACCTTTATTTGCCATAACTTTTGCATAATAATTTTCGCGATTATAATAACAGGTCCGAATAACCCTAATGGATCAAATATTGTCGCGATCTCGGATAATATTTTCGCTTGGCTATCGGGGCATTGACCTCTACCTGTACTGTATAGAATAACATATCATCATCTGATTTCCAATGCAAACCTAGTATTTTTGTCATTACCTCACCCATACCTCTTATGTTATTGTTATCGGAATGCACGTTGACTATTAACTCTGGGTCATTAGATAACCATTTGCGAAGTTCTAAACCGGCTTTGCTCATAATTGAAATTAGATCATCTCGTAATTGTATTGCACCGGCCTTCGACATTGCACCACCTAGATAGTCGTCCATATAAAAATCTCTAATAATTAATTCGCCAACCTCCGGACAACTATCACATTCCGTATTTGCCAAATTTTCGAGACACGCTGTTGCCAAGTACGACGCCGGCACGGTGCCGTAGGTCAGTGTATTTAGTCGATATACATGTATCGGTTGTGTCGGTTCAGGTCGCCATAACACATGTTGAAAATCTCGCCGATCTTCGGCAACTAAAAATTGGCGATACATTTTCGTGATATCTGCTGTAAACACGTAATAATTATAAGTACGAAATCATATTAATATATATATTAAATCGTCTTGAATAGACGGACCTTTAAGTAAAATATCATTGAGACTAACGCCCGTATTGGTTTTACTTAAGGCGTCAAACACGACCCGTAGTTTCGTTGTAGTACTACTGTCATTACGCACGGCGTGGTGTGGAATATAATATTTTCCTTCTCTGTCTTTGTTTTCGATTTCGTTATCTACGCGTTCCATATGCTCCAATGCTTCGTATTCCGACATACATTTTATATAATCTTGTTTTAACTGTGTATCTCTTTTGTAGTCGTTTTTCTAATAATAAAAATCGCCATTCAGCAATATTGTATGAATTACCCAATTTTGGCGCATTTACTTTAAACGGAAGTCGAACTCTAAATCGACCGCTTTCATCACGATTTATATTGTTATCAAAATGTGATTCGCATTCCTTTTCTTCTTTTGTATACACTGATTTTGATTCGTATTCTTCTAATTTCCAAAATGTTGTAATCGACTGTTCTAAATCTGTTTCTGTATTCTCAGTTATCGATAGATTTACCGCACTCGCGGCCCATCCACCTGAATTAATTACGTTATCTGCGGGACCCGATACTACCCATCCAAAACGAGTTTCTTGGAATATCGGTTGACCAGCTACCGGCTTTAATTGTCCCGTACATAATAATTCGAAAAAATAACCAGCACCAATTAACATGTCAATTTTTCGTGGTGTATTAAACCACGGATCCAGGGCCGTATTAAGGGACAATGTATGGGGGAGCAAACATAAATATGACGYCYCTAATTCAGTATACRCCTTTTTTTACAAGTAAATAACCAAAAAAAAATTTTCTCGCTACGCTCGAACAAACATTAATACTTACAAAAMACTTTATGCTTACCTAATAATTAGTCATCTACTCTTCCTATTGTCTTATACTATATATTTAAACACATGAACCAGATACAATTTATACATATTAATACATTATTACATATACTACATGTCTACATATCATTATTAATTTCAAACT